ATCTGGATCAAATCCATAATTGTGGGTTGCATTTGCCCGAGCTGAATGTATAACCTACAAAAATAAAAGGTTCCTATTACATCACACCTGAACTGTAAATAATCTTTGACTTCAGGAGCCATGCTCGGCAATAGTCCTGCAACTTTAAGGTTGGTCTCATGTGGTGTTTGGAAGTGAATGACTGTGTGTGTTTTCTTTGATAAGTAGAAGTGAATGACTGTCAACACGACAATGGAGGTTACTCTGCAACATAGAATCATTTAATGCAGTATAGGTGTGGCAGACACATTAGAGATGCTCTTTGTAAAGAAGACAACAGAAAGGCCGAGTCAAATACATAAAATACAGCCTACTTATACACTACAGTTGAATGATTTATGAAGAAAATAATTTCCTTTCCCTTGATCTTCTGCAAGCTGCTTGTCAGAAGCCTCACCTGATAGACAGTTTTGGAAGCTCGTTTTACAGTCACTTGCAACTGCAACAATGCATCTTCAACACGCATCCCACGAACTAATGCTGCGACCAAATTGATCTTCTTTGGGCTCTGAAAATGACAAGTGCCATAGAAATGAAAGGATAGCATGGTAAGATTCCTCACTCTTTTTTTGACTGGAAAGAGATTTCTGATAGAAGGAAGGAGTAAAAGAAAGAGAACAAAACTTGTCAAGAAAATAAAACAAGAAAAAGAGTTTAAAAAACATATTTAGAAAACAGACGGGTCCCAACAATATCTGTTCTTTGTTGGAGCAATTATTCTTTCACTAAGTTATAATTGCATCATAACAATATCTAGGACAAGCCCCAATTTTCAAATGCATTCTAATGGGAGAAAAGTCTGCTTACAGTCTACACAAACAGTATGTAATGAAAGAGATATGCATTCATACAGTCCCTTTTCTTCAATATTTCTCCCTGATTCCTGTACATTATCTCAAATTTGCATTTTTCATCACACTGTCCTCCCCAATACCAAAAATATATTTTTCTTTGTGCTCATAAATTGCAGGATATGCAGTAGAACTCACCGTCATGTTGCTAAATCAGCAGGCTTTGCCTCCTAATTCACATAAAAGCTTGGCAATATTCTAAAAGACTTTATCAATTACCAGTATAAAACATAGAGGCGGGGAGTAACTTCCACTTATATGTAAATAATCATTTAATAAACCATTAAGCTGGGAAATCAATTCTAGGAAGAAAAAAAAAGGAGATTTGCTAGGAGATTAGTTAATACGAATGACAAGGCTGTATGTAACCACATCTACTCACCAAATTGTTATTCATCATGCAAATTCTGCTCCGGTGTGCAGTAAATTAGAAAGGCTGTGGCATTTCATACCTGTTTTATCCCCTTCAAAATTGCTTGAACTGTTGAAGGTTTAGAAGTTGCTTTCTCAGCTTCTTTATTTCCAGTATTT